GGTTTAGCCTCCTGATGAGTCGGTGAAACTCCGACGAAACAGTTTGTCACAGCCCCTCGTTTGTTGTCCTCTTCTCCCTCTCTGCCTACGGTTTACCGGGCAGTTCTATTTGACATATATATGCGCATCAGGGCCTGGCACCACTGCTCTCAACGCGTGTAAAACGAGAGTGTGAAGCTGTGACTAGAACATGGAAAGATACACCACCATAATTTTTGTTTGTTGTGCATGTCGAGAGTATAGTGGCGCCAGGCCCTTGGAATCACCCCTTTTTTTACTTTTTCTTTTCCTTTTTGCCAATCCATCTTTTCGTGTGGGCCCTTTCACAAGACCACTCAAGGACTTTCGAGGAAACGCTCATGACGGGAGGACCTCATCTCTTCGAAGAGAATTTCGACTTTTGGCGCCCGCCAATCTGACACCTTTCGAAACTTCTTCGAATGAACTTGTTTCGAAAGGAACTACTTCGAAAGAACTGGTTTCGAAAGGAACTGGTTTCGAAAGGCTGTGTGGCAGGAAGACAAGGCGTCATCCTTCGGGACATCTGTTAAAATAGGAACGATACAGAGAAGGGGAAGATTAGCAAATGGCCCCTGTGGAAGGATGACACGCATAAAAGAAGAAGAAGAAGAAGAAGAAGAAGAAGAAGAAGAAGAAGAAGAAGAAGAAGACACGGCGTCGATTTTGAGCATTTCGAAGGGGCTCGGCCAACGGCGCATGAGACGAAAACGAAACGAGTGCATCTGGGCACGGAAGGTGGCAACATACAACCATTACTATTAATAGCAAACGGATGAAGCTGGCCATTTTTTGTGGGAAGATGCATTCATTTCATTTTTCGTTTCGCGTGCCGCGAGGCCCGAAAGCCTGTGTGGCGAGCCCCTAAAGTGAATGAGCGGGAGGAAGGCCCGTAGAGGTGGTGGGGGGAGGACCAGGGGGGGGGKGGGGGATGGGTTTTGAGGGCGAGGTCCCACTTGCACGAATTAAGAGATAGAGACCGTAGATAGCCGAGATCAACGGCCGAAATCTCCTAATCTGTGCAAGTGGGACCTTGCCCCAGGAGGGGTTGGGGGATGGGTTTTGGGACCAATGGAAAAGGCGGGAGGCGGGGGTTCTATCCCCAGTTTGAAAAATGCGCGGGAAAAAGTTTTGAAAGGTGTGGAGCGAGGACCCAGGGGGCCAGTGCCAGTGGCCAGGTAAGAATCTACTAGACAAGGCTGCTCTGTTTTGTTTTGTTTTGTTTTGTTTTTTATTTTTTATTTTTTTTTATTCCTGTTCTTTCTACACTCTTCTCCCAACTTCAGTTTCTTTTTACCTTCCATTACCTACTCCTAAGACTATCTAGAGGGGACCCCTGCAAGCATAGTTTTTCCTCTCTCTGTGAMGGGGAGATTTCATGTTGCCCCTTGCCCCTAATGGTTAGGGTATAGGGTTGGGGCCGCCAGTGGGGGTCTGGCTAACACAAAGACCGAGACCTGCCAGTAGCTGTGCCTCCCTTTCTCATCGTCCCCCACCCTTCATCGAGCAGCGGCTATGGTCAACACTCTCCCACACACCTTGCCGAGTAGGTTTGAATCGGCATTTCGAAAAAAAAAAAAAAAAAAAACAGGGGCCCTGACTCCTGTGCCGTGGTCCCACTAGCAAAGAGGATCGGATCGAATGGCTGAATCTGGACGAGGCCGTGGAGAGGTGCAGGAAATCGAGATTGAACTGCTTTTCGGCATCTCTGCATTAAATACGTCCAGATTCAGGCATTCGATCCGATCCTCTTTGCTAGCCCTGCTGGTCCACTGAACGACCCATGGACTGTGAAAAATCGTCTTTTTTTTTTGGATTCGAACACAGGACCTGGTCTGTATTTCAGCAGTTCATGGGTGTACCCACTGAGCTAGGCTCTTGGGTAAAAATCGTTTTGAGATCTCGGCTGATACGCCGAAAGGAGCGGGCTTAGACAGGGACAGGGAAGATGCCGTGTTGCGCGGCAGATAGCAGGCCGGGAAATTTTGGGACAGCTGGGACCGGGCGTTTCGGTACAAGGGGCTTACCGGGTGCAAGGTCCCACTTGCACGGATTCCGAGATATCGGCCGTTGATCTCGGCTATCTACGGTCTCTATATCTCTTAATTCGTGCAAGTGGGACCTAGCCCCGGCGGAGACCTACCTGATACGTCATTCATCTCGAATTCCCCCCCTTGATGAGGTTGCTTACTGTTGGCGGCAACTGAAACTAGAGGGGGAGAGAGGGGGGGGGGGAGAGGAATGGTCAGGCGCTTCTCGGCGGGGTGAAACCCTTATTCGGCGTGTGGATGAAGGCGACGCCATAGATTGCTATGGGGCTTTCGGTGCTGCAACGCATATCTTTTCCGATGAGAACTGATTCGAGATTTCTTCACATATTTGGGCCGTGGTTCTCACGGTTATGTGTCTTGCGCACGGGGGCAAGGTCCCACTTGCACGGACCCGTTGATCCTTGTTATCTACGGTCAATATCGCTTAACTCGTGTAAGTGGCCCCGGGTCAGATCTCTGGCTTCGCTGTTTCTCATCACACACACACACACACACACACACACACACACGCACCCACGCACACACAAAAAAAATAAACAAGAAAAAAAAAGAAAAAGGATGGTGATAGTCCGAGGAAAAAGTCTGGCATAGTCATATGCTTTTTTTGTGGAGTGGTGTATAATAGTGTTTATAGCCGATATGACAACACACATTCAAGATGAGGATTTGTGTCCTTCGAGACATCCGTGCCGTTAAAATTGGAACGATACAGAGACGATAGATTACCGTGGCCCCCTGCGCAAGAATGACCAAAACATATATCGAAAAATGGAACCAAAAAAAAAAAAAAAAAAACGAAAAAGGAAAAGAAACAAAAACAAAGGGATTTTAATGGCACAGTACAGCACAGTCAAGGAAAAAAATAAAAAAAAAATAAAAAAAAAATACAAGCGGATTTTAGTCGCGCAGGACAGCACAGTCAAGGGCGCCAGTCAAGATCCAGCCAGTGATTGAACGCCCACCAGAAATGCATCAAATATTCAAATTCGTGTCTACATAAAGTAGCTCTCTTTACAAAAAAAAAAAAAAAAAAAAAAAAAGAGCAATATCCAAATCACGCGATCATATCGTACATTGTCAATCGGAAGTGCATACGGAATTCCCAAAAAAAAAAAAAAAAAAAAAAAAAAGGTGCATCCGGAATCACAATAGGGGTCGAAATAATTAATCACGCAGCAGAATTCAGCCACAAAAAAAAAAACGATGAGGACTTTAGGCGAATTAGGGAAAAAAAAAATCGTTGAAGATCAGGTCGAAATCACAACCTTCATGACACAGCAGAATCAGTCCAACCTCGATCAATCAAAAACTCAGCAGAATCAGTCCATACCTCGATCAATCAAAAACTCGAGATCCCGATCCAGGTCGACAAAATCAATCATGCAGCAGAATTCAGGCACAAAATTAAAAAAAAACATTAAGATGAGGACTTAAGACGAATTAAAAAAAAAAAAAAAAAAAAAACGTTGAAGATTGAGGTGGACATCACAACCTTCATGACACAGCAGAATCAGTCCATACCATACCTCGATCAATCAAAAACTCGAGATCCCGATCCAGTCACGAGAGTGACGAGACCAAGTCTGGATCTAACGGAGAGCAAACGAGATTCAAAAACTTCATTCCATCAGACACCACGACCAGGATTCCAGAAGTTGATTCCATCACGCAAAAGCATGAAGAAAAAGGCAAAAAAAAAAAAAAAGCATGAAGAATACGATTCCCGCACGTGATTTCACAGAGCAAGAAAAGACACAAGAGCTCCATTACATCAGCGCCATTCCAGCATCAAAAAGCACGAAGAAGCTCAGAAAACAGGGGACGAAAAAAAGAGGAAAAAAGAGGAAAATTTGAGCAGAGTAAGAATTCCGTCAGCAGCGAAAACGTCTTTCAAGGGGGAAAGAAGGGGGGGGCGCGGAAGGGGAAGGAACAAAACGCCAATATGAAGCAGGTTCAAAAGGATCATCCCAGAAAATAAAAGAAAAAAGGGAGAAAAAAAAAAAAAAAGGATCATTCGTGATTCCGCGTTCAAAGTTCGTCACCTTTCATATTCTTTTTCTATTCTATTTTATTCTAGGCTACCAGACGGGCCGCCCGGGTCCCGGGTGGCCAGCCCGTGCAAGGATCAGGTGAGGTCCCAGCAAAAAAAAAAACAAAAAAAAAATCTACAAATTCTGAAAAAAAACTATGTTATGCAGAAAAATAAACTGAACAACTTTTGCGCCCAGGCCAGGTCCCACTAACACCGTTGAACTAACTCCACGATTAGTTTCAACGACGTGTGACTGTGGGCGACGGCCGAGATGACGTTGCTTTGCAAGCATCCACCGGTGGTTTTTATTTATTTATTTATTTTATGTTTATTTGAATTTATTTTTTTCACCGGTGGTTTTTATGGGATGGGATATTTCTTTTTTCGCCCCCTCGAAACTCTTTTTATACCTTTCTCGGCCTTTTTTTTTTTTTTTTTTTTTTTTTTTTTTTGAGAAGTTGTCACTTTGTATTTCAAAACAACCGTGGTCGAGGCCGGGGACCTCACAATTCTACCTGGTGTCGACGAGATAAACCCTGCTGGAAACCGGGTCCAGCGTCCCACGACCACCCAAACTCAATAGGACAGAACTCCTCAAAATAACCTTGAAGCACCAAAAAGGCGGCTGAACTGATCAATAACAAAACCTCTCCAATCCTTCAGCCTATAGCACCAAATCCTTGCAGCGCAGAAGAAGGAACACAACGCCAGCATGTTTCTACAGTCGAAACATTATTGGCCAAGGACTACAACTTATAATCTGCATATCTCGAAAACGCGCAAGGCAATTCACGAGGAATTTTACAGTTTTATCCCTAAAATTTATTCCAGAAGCAAACTAAATAATCCCAAATTCCAACCCAAACTCATACCAACTTCAAACTGTACGTGGTGGTGTTGTCTCCCAAAATAAACGAATAAATGTCAACCCATCCCAATTCCGTACAGGTAAAAACAGCCACATATGGAGATACCAAGAAATTCCCATGCAGAAGAAGGGAAATGAATGACTGCGACTAAAGAGGGAGTACAAGAAAACTGACGCTAATTTCCAAGTGGCACAACGTCGAGCGTAGAACACTCCCCTCACCACTCAAGGCATGGGTGACCCCGTGACACCCTCCCTATTCTAAAGGTCAGCCATCCCTCCAACCACGACTGGGAATTAACTTACCTATTGCGCCCGGGCGACGGTCCCACCGCCACTAGTAAGCYTCSCACTCCCACTAATGGTGCCGCCACCCCAAGGATGTCAAAGCTGCTCAGACCCATCACGGAACTCGTCTTTATCATCTAATTTTACAGATACTGCCGTAGGTAATCTCATTGGAACATTAGGCACCCGGATTCCCAGGATGACCAAGGGTCGTAAAACACCCCCCGTGCCACTCAAGGCTTGGGTGACCCAACAGTACTATTACTGGACTTAGAGAACTGCCTCTTCTACGAAATAAACTACGATGTATCCTAAGAGACAGAGTATCCTGAAAGAATCGATCACAACAGGAAAATCCCGAGAGCTTACCACATATCAAGACCCAAAACAACTTCGACGTATATGTTGATTTCCCCAATACTACCGGAAGTATTTTGACGATAGATAGTGCACAAGAAATCCCAAAATAACCAAGGGTCGAGCGAAAAACACTCCCCGTCCAAAATAAACTACGAAAGCCATCAATAGCAGGAAGATCCCAGGAGCATACCGCAAGGAAAAACCCAAACGACTTCAAAATTCCCCACGATGTCGAATAAAGCAAGTGACACTAATCGACAAAAACAAATTACAAAATTCAACTGCAAAACTACTCTAAACTCCATAAGATTCCGAGGCATCACAGACCCAACAGAAACTCATATCTTCATCATATTCAATTCCAGAAACTGCCGTAATTATATGCATGAACCGCAGGGTTCCAGGAGACTCAACCGCACGAAACCCCGAACACGTACAAGTGAACAACATACTGCCTTGCGACAGAGATACTCCAGCGAGACTTGCTGCACCCCTTAAGTGTGCCGGAGCGCTGCCACCGCAGCCGCACGCTCACCCACTGCGTCCAGAGACGCCCCTCTGCTTCCAAACTTTCCTAATGAGTAGAGCAGTCCAGCTATTCTGTCGTGACGTGCAGACGCGGTCTTTAGATGGTGAAGAGATAGATAAGACGACCCAGTCTTGCTATAGTCCTTGGACGAGCCGAAGCGCTGCCACCGCAGCCATACGCTCTCCCACTGCGTCTAGATGCGCCGCCTCGCCGTCCATGCTTTCTTCATGACCGAGGCGAACGAAATACCTTGTCCTGCGTGTCCCACGCCCGGCCTTTAGGTATTGAAAAAGGAGCCCCCCCTTACGAGCAGGAGGCTCAAGGGGAGGACGGCTCCTCTGGTATCTGGATACTGTCAGGTATATTAGTTGGTATTAGACTTCAGGTATAGGTATAGAGCATAGGACTGCCAGTATGCCAAGGCGATGAGTGCAGAGCACTCCCTCCCCACTCAAGGGCAAGGTTTCGCCAAGGCACTGTTGCCATAGCTCTCACACAGCTATGGAGCCTGGCAGGGTAGGCGCCACGTGAAGGATCAGCATCACCACGTCTCTACGTCACTACCTATGCAGCCGCCTCCGACGACCGGACGCCGCCACCGCTGCTATCGCCGCTGCGTTAGCGCTCATTTCGTGCGGCCTCCCAGTTACCCATTTCCCTTTCTCGGCCTTTTGGCTAAGATCAAGTGTAGTATCTGTTCTGATCAGTTTAATATCTGATCCGTGGTCCATCGGGCCACACACAAAAAAAAAAACAAAAAAAAACTCTTTTTATGGGATATTGAGGGCAGAGAGTTTTGTTTCTGGTTGAAGAAACGCCAAAAAAAAACGCCTCTTCTCGAATAGAACGCCCCCTATCCTCGCCCTTATGCGTTGACGTAGGCTTTGATCCCAGAATACATACGGCGGCGCCGCACGGCACACGAAACGAAAAACGAAACGAGTGCATCTTCCCAAAGAAAATGGACAGGTTCATCGGTTTGCTATAAATAGTAACCAGTGTGAGCAGATGCACTCTTTTGGCTTTCGCTATGTGTGCCCTGTGGCGAAGCCCATAGTAAAGGTACTTTTTTTTTTTAAGAGGGCCCTATGCCCCAAAAATTTCAAATACAAAAAAAAAAAACAATTTTTTTTCTTTTTTTTTCTTTTAAACACACATTTCATTATACAAACCGGGAAACGGGCCCGGCGTCTCTCACATATGTGCGGGCGGCTCCTGATTATGAATGAGGCATCACCGGCCGAGCCCATAGCAGGAGTCGCAAAGTTCCCAAAAAAGGAAAAAGGGAAGAAGGCAACTGTCTATTCCATTATGTATTCATTACTCAAACCAAAAACTAACCACGGATCAAAAGTCGGGGAGCAGTAAATCTTCTAACACATCTATTTGAACGGAGAGGTCACCAAGCCTCCAGAATACAAAACCACAAAACCATTATTGACAACTTGAASTATAGTACAGACAAAATTTACCAAAAAACTAGTCAGCGAAAAGGAAAGGGGCCTACTGTAACAAACTCTGCAGTTTTATCAAGCAACAAAAAAGGAGGAAAATTGAATCTGTGGCTGGTCTCCCTGAGATGTTTGCACTTTAAGCAGATCAGGGAACCTGTCCCAATGTTGAAGGAAGGTTCTCAATGCCTTAGGTGTGTATCCTTTCTTTTGGACTTTGAAAGACCACTCAGTTGAGATGGTCTGTTTTATGCCAAATTTAACCTCAGCTCGTATCATCGCCGGAGTCAGTCTCTCGCCCCTGTAGAGCGCAGAGTTCCTGAGCGTCCAGAGTGTCCATAGCACAGATCCCCGAAGGGTCTCTTCCGGGAACATCAGCGGCCCTTTGACCTGCTGACGCCGTGTGGCCGCCCCCAAAAGAATGAAGTTATCGGTCCATCTTTCCGCCCGGTCTGGTATCGGGACTGATCCTGATCTCCACCATTCCCAGCAGGGCCTTGAGAGGTCGCAATGTAGCAGCATGTGCTGGAGGTCCTCAATCCTTGTCCTAGGACATAGACTGCACAAAGGTGTAGCTTTGGCTGTGCGCCACCACAAAGCTGTAGGTACAGCCAGGTGAGCCACTAGCCACAATTGGCTCGCATGTTTGACCACTGGAAGATCTAACAGCAGTTTCCAATACGTTGAAAAACCCTGAGCGAGTCTTGGAAGCATATCTTGTACCCATCCGGTAGCCATCCATCTTTTTGCCACAGTCCAATTGACATCAATCTGCGGTCTCATCAGTTTATACCCCAACTTTGTAGAGTATTGATAGAGGAACACCGGTTGCCGCTGTCGAGGATCCATCATCCAACCCCAGTCCCTGGGGTCCACAGGCAGGGTGTATGATGGCTGTGCTAAACAGAAAGGACG